GCTGCATATATTGAAACACTGATACTGGGATTTTCAGTTTCCTGGCACTGCCACGGCCAGCGGATTCCCCTCCGAAGACTACACTGCCATCACCCTTGGGGGCTGGAAGGCGGTGCCCCACATACTCCAAGCACGTGGCGCCCACTGGAATTTCTGCCGCCCATACCAGATACAGGCCCCTGTAGGAGAAGTTTTTGTTTGGTCACTAGTGTGGGCAAGAGCTGTGGGCGGCGTGAGCAGCAGCCAGCCTCAGATCCCCGACACGGTCCCCTGTGTGAAAGATACTGGGCTGCTGATGACTGACCTGCCTGTGCTGAGCGGGGTGTCCGTGAGAGAAGCTACAGTGGCTGAAGAGCTAGCTGTTATGCTTCAACCATCCAAGAAAACGTTTCTTCATTGGAAGGGAGTTTTTCAGTGTGTGCACAACACAGCCATTTTGAGCGTTTTATGCTTTAAGGTACATAGTGAGAAGGTTGGGGTTTTTTGTTTTTGTTGTGCTGGTGGTGAATTTTTATGAACTCTGGGATTGTTTTGCAAGTGGTTTTTTTGTTGTTTATTTATTTATTTACAAATTTTTACTGGTATTCTGGATTTAAAATGTTTTAATGAAATTTCTAAGTGATTTTTTACACTTAATATCACCCTTCTAGTAAACTGTCCAAAAGAGTACTATGCTTGGAAGTATGTCTGTTTACAAGTTAACATACTTAAAACTTTTGGATGCTGAAGACGCATTCAGATATGTTTACAGCAATTCTCCTTCCAAGGTTGTTTATTGTGGTAAAACATATATAACGAAAACCTTTGCAGTTTTAACTGCTTTCAAATGTACAATTCAATGACATTAATTATATTCACTACTGTACTACCACGATCTATTTTCTACAAGTTTTTCCTCACCCCAAACAGAAACTCAAGCACCCCTTCAAGAGTAACCCCCATTCTCCCCGGCCCGAGCCTCTGATGGCCCTTCAGCTGCTTTGGGCTCTGTGCGTTCACCTATTCCAGGAATTTCGTGTAAGTGGGATGACACAACTTTTGTCCTTTTGTGTCTAATGTATTTCACTCAGCATAATGTTTTCAGGGGTCATGCAGTGTTTTGGCAGGACTTCCTTTCTCTTTGCGGCTGAATAATATTCCATCGTGTGGATGTGCCACACTGTGTGTGTCCATTATCTGCTGATGGACTCCAGGGTTGTTTACTTCTTGGCTATTGTGAATAGTGCTGAAGTGAACATTCATGTAGAAGTATTTAAGGTGTGGGTCAAACGTCACTTTTTTGCATGTAGTTAACCTAGATGTCCCAACACCATTTGTTGAAGAGACTGTTCTTTACCAGTGAATGGACTTGGTATGATACCGTTTTCAGAAATCAGTTGGCCATAGATGTATGGGTTTATTTCTGAACTCTCAGTTTTCCTCTAGAAGTCTGTATGTTTATCCTTATACCAGTACCTTAGTGTTCTGATTGCTGCAGCTTTACAGTATGTTTTGAAATTGAGACGTGTGGATCTTCCTACTTTGTTCTTCTTTTCCATGATTGTTTTGGCCCTTGAGGGCTTCTTGCAGTTCCATATAAATTTGAGGATTGGCTTTTCCATTTCTGTAAAGAAGGCAGTTGGGATTTTGACAGGGATTGCTTTGAATCTGGAGATTGCTTGGACAGTGTTGGTATCTCATCTCTGCTATAATCTTCTTTCTTCTGCTATCTTTGGACTTCGTTGATTCTTTCTATAGTTCCTCAAAGTGTGCAGTTTGGATCTCTCTTATTTTTCAATATTCATGTTTTATAGCTATATATTTCCTTCTAAGTACTACTTTACTATGTCCCATAAATTTTGGTATGTTGTGTTTTTTGTTTTCAGTCCTCTCCAAGTATTTTCTAATTTCCCTTCTGATTGCTTCGTTAACCCATTGGTTATCTAGTAGTATGTTGCTGAATTTCCACAGATGGGTGAAGTTCCCAAATTTAATTCTGTGACTTACTTCTGGTTTTCTATTATTGTGTTTGTAGAAGATGCTTTATGTGATTTCAACCTATTTAAATGTATTGCCCCTTGTTTTGTGACTTATCATATTGTCTCTCCTGGAGAATGATCCATGTACACTGGACAAGAATGTGTATTCTGCTGTTGTTGGGTGAGTGTTCCATACATGTGTTAGGTCTATTTTCTCTATAGTGTTGTTCAGATTGTTTCCACATTGTTCTTTCCAGATGTTCTATGCATTATTTAAAGTGTTGTATTGAACATTCTATTACTGTAGAACCGTTTCCCTACAGTTCTGTGCATATGTGCTTTATATGGTTTGGGGCTATATTGTTACGTGCATTTATAATTTTCACATCTTGATGAATTGGTCATTCATTACATAATATCCTTCTTTGTCTGTTTTACATTTTGAGAACTGCATTTTATCTGATCCTAATACAGCCACCCCTGCTCTTTTGACTATTCACCTGGAGTATTTTTTTTTCCATCCTTTCATCTTCCACCTACCAATCTCTAGATCTAGTGGATCTCTTGTGCACAGTTTACAGTTGGATGTTTTCTTGTCCATTCTGCCAATCTAACTTTTAATTGAAGAGTTCAATCCATTTACATTTAAAGTAGTTGCTAGTAAGGAAGGACTTACCTCTGCCATTTTGAAAGGGCCCCACTGGTGTTGCAGAGAGCACCTCCAGGGAACTGGAGGACGTGTTAACTGGAGAGCACCTTTTCTGTTTCTTGCCCCCATGCCGCCACTGTCTTGGGCACTGAGTACTGATGATGGCAGTGTCCACACTGGACTAGATAGTTAGGAATCTGACCTGGTCAATTTTGGGGGATAAGAACACAAGGACTGCAGTGTTAGGTGGTGTGCTTCTAAGTCAGTGCATGTCTGTGACACCTAGAATTTTAAGTGAATTAGATCACTGCCTTAAGCAGTTTTTATTTTTGTCATACTGATCCTGTTGTCTCCACCACCCGCTGCCATCGAGTTGATTCTGACTTATGTGACCTCATGTGCCCCTGAGGGTTTTCAATTGCTAATCTTTCAGAAGTAGTTCACTAGGCTTTTCTTCCAAAGCACCTCCAGATAGGCTTGAACCCCTAACCTTTTGGTTATTGTAGAGTATGTGAACCGTCTGCATCACCCACCTTTTTGACAGAATGTTCCAGTCACAGCTACCTGCAAAGAGCGAAATCATCTGCAGTTAGAATAAGAATGTTAAGCTTTTAGGGAGGGATTCTTGGACACCTATGTCACTTCTCACCATCTTGATGACTATGGTAAACTACCTTCCCAGAGGATCAGTATTAGCTAGTATGAATTCACTAACTGCTTCCAGTTGCTTCCACAGTGGTGGCCCTGGCCACAGGACACCCCACCCTCCCCACAGGCCTCATCACAGCATCCTGAATGGCTGAGCTCCCAGGCTGCTTAGAAAGAGTTTGTCCACGCAGCACCACATGGCAGGAGAGGCAGCAGGTCCCAGGACAGCATGGTCTGAAACTGTCCCAGGTTTTAGCTGCCTGACACAGTGGGTGTGGCCCCCGGATGGCGAGGGCACCAAGGTGTTTCCCGTGGCTTTGAGCTGGTGCCAACCAGCTGCCTTCCCTGCCAAGAGGCAGCTGTCTCAGTCAGTGGGCGGGCAGGCGCTAGCCCGGAGACCTCCGTGATTCATCAGTCACTCCATATGGCCACAGGGGAGCTGGCACTCCACCTGAGACAGGAGGCTGCACTGGGAGATGGAGCCTTTGGTGCTCACCTGGTCCTCACTGGGATGGCTGAAAGAAAATGAGAAAGGTCCTTTCCCCCCAAGTGGCAGTCATCACCTTGCCACTTTGGGACAGCGTCTGGTCTGTGTGTGCCCTCTGGGCTCCTCATCCTCTCAGCTTCCATCATAACGACACCCCTCATGCAGGAGACAGCTGCCCTCGCTACCGTCACGTCTTCCTCCCTTTGCTCAAATCCAGTTAGATGGCTGTTCTGTCAAGGACAACTGCATGGAAACCATGAGAGGCAGGTTCTGTGAATTCACAGCTCAACTCTTAGGTGACAAGGCTTCGTCAGAGGGTGGAAGGGCATCAAGCCACTTCAGGAACAGATGTGCTAATATTCATGTAACATCGGGGAACACTTTGTAAGAAAGCATTTCTTAGAATCATCTTTAGTGTGAAAACATGCAATCATCACAACTACAGAGACAGACTTTTCTCACCCTGTTGAAACAGAAGTGGGAGAAGAAAATATCATTCAAATTCAGTGAAAATATGAACAGAATATGGAGAGAGAGTAGGTGGGCTTTTGCCTAAAAACACAAGTGGTTGTTTTCTTTGTGGAAAATGTAAACTCAAAAATACTGCCTTAAAAAGAAGCTGTAAGTTTTTGTTATTGTAAAATGCTATCTTGGGAATTAGTGTTGGAATCTTAGGAATGGGGCTTTTGAGCATGTTTTTGATGGTTGCAGACTTTTGGCTGATTGACAGTTCAGAGGAGGTGGAGGGTGGTGAGTTCTCCACGTCACACCCCAGGCTGTGCTCTGACTGCGTCACATCCTGTCCTGCATGATCCTAAGCAATCATCTGAGTCCATGAGGGATAAGAATCAGGATCAGCACAAAGCTGGTCTCTGTGAGGCAAAGGTCAGGTGTACCTCTGCTTCCCACTTCTCCTTAACTTCTGACACCAGTGCCCACCCCCCACCAATGGCACTTTCTATTTCCCTGCAGGATTTGATAATTCATCACTACAGTCACACAGAAACAGCCCATACTCAGTTATGTGGTTTTACCAGGGCAGGAACAGGCTACAACCTGAGATCAGGACCCACTTGGAAACAGCAGGAATCACTCAGGATGAGCATCAGAGCACACAGGCCTCCCGTCAGCAAAAGCGGCTTCTTTGCTGAGCAGCAGTGCTCTGCCGGGCAGCTGCTGTCTCTGCCGGGCAGGGCTCCTTGCCGTCAGGCTCCTTGCCATCAGGCTCCCTACCACGGGCCTCTCCCCCCCGGCCTAGCTCAGAGCCAAGGTACCAGCCCACTCAGCTCTCCTGCCAACAGCTCTGTGCTGCTGGGCCTGTGGTCAGGCTACCTGCTGTCAGCCTCTCTCCTGCTACCTAGCCCAGCTCCCAGTCAGAGGAGCAGTTCCCAGATCACCCAGCTCCCAAGTGGTTGTTTCCCTGTGAGCCCAGTTTTTAGCCAGCATCTCTCTCTCAGGACTTTGCATTTTGGTCATTTATAGATCCCCAATCATTACAAGGCAGGGCCTCCCTCACCAGACCAGAATTCAACCAATCCTCAACTACCCATGACTTGTCAGTCAACTCAGGTCTTAATTACCATGCAAAAGTATCAAACCTACCCAGGAAGTGTTAATCATCCTGGAAAAATCCCCTGGGTAACCAATCCCTCCAGTAGGAAACCACTGGGAGGCTCCCCACCCAAGTTGTTCCTCCAGAATACTAAGGCAAAGGTAACTCTGAGGGGTTGGGGAAAATCTCCCAAGCTGTTTTTCCAGTGAACCCAGGCAGGAGGACACATAAAGGACCTCATCTGACCCCAGGTCCTCAAGAAAGAGACAGGGAGTGGGGGGATGTGTCTCCCAACAGGCACCCTGGAGGACAGGCACGCTATTTCCACTTTGGGAACGAGGATGTCTGTCTTCACACCTTCCCTCACAGCTCACTGGGGTATGGGCCCTAGGTATCCCGTCCCCAACCTGGGTATCTGGGTTCTCCTCACTGAACCAATCCAGTGCCTGCTTCAGATGACACCCCTAAACCTACGGTTGGCAGTTTGACCCCACCCGTTGGTGCCACAGAAGAAAAGGCCTGGCCATCTGCTGTTGCTAAGATGACAGGCAAGAAGATTCTATGGACCAGTTCTACGCTGTAACACACGGGGTTGCCATGAGACAAATCAGCCCAACAGCAAGCAGCTACCACCAGCAGACACCACAGTGTGCACTGAGAAACACCTCGCAGCTCCATCACTAGTTAGCAAACACTTGACAATTCACGGTGCTGACAGATACAGGAGGCCCAGAAGTAAGGAGAAGAGGACTCTCCTTTGTGACTAACCTAGAAGAGAATTCTATCTTACAAAAAAAAAAAAAAAAAAGTGGGGAAATCAGTTTCAAGAAATCTGTTGGGTAAAATCTCAGGAAACACTTGAGTCCAGCTTCCTGCCAGGATTGGAGTCCCTTCTCACTGAGTCTGCTTAGAAGCTTCTGCTCCTCAACCTACACGACTGTGAGACCAGAACCAGATGGTGCCTGGCTACCACTGTCAACCACTCAGAGGGGGATCTTTGTAGGAGATCCTGGATAGAGAGGGAGAACAATGTGGAAAAAAACTCAAAATCATAAATTTGAAAAAAAAAAAAAAAAAAGGACCAGGTTTGCTGGTCTGATAGAGCCTGGTGGAACGCCTGAGACTACGGCCCCTAGCTGCCCTTCAGGTCTGGAATTGAACCCACTCCTGTGGCTTCCAGCCAAACAAAAGACAGGCATAGGAGGTGAACATTTACCTCATGTAGACACTCCTCGGAGAGGTCAATCATGGGAGAATAGAAGGGCTGTGTATGCACAGGGAGACAGCTCAGGGGGCTGGGGTGCATGGAAGGAAGGCCACAGGGAACAGGTAACTATGGGGAGGAAGTGGGAGGGGAGCTTTTGCATTGTGGGAAATAGAAGTCAAAGTCATGCTGTGAGCTGCTGTAGAAAGTGAATTTGCTCTGTACACTTTCACCCAAAGCACAATAAAAATTTAAAAAAGAAAAGGTGGTTCTCCCCACTGCAGGAGAAAGACCTGCTGATCTGCTCGTACGGAGATGACGGCCTAGACAATCCTGTGGGGCAGTTACACTGTGTTAGGGGTCACTGAGTCACTGGGTGGCATCTAACAGTTCTCGTCGTTGTGTTTGGTTGCTGTGCCCACTCGAAGTTCTGGCGAGCAGGCACCCCTGCCCAGCGAAGCCCCATAGCCGCACTGGGCCCATGCGACACAGCTACGAAGTCACACCCATGGGCTTACACAGAATCCCATCACACAACGTGGGTAGTGGGCTATTTGAGCAAAATGGGTCAGCAGTCCGACGCCACAGCGTTCGTGACTGGAGTCACGAGGAAGGCAATGCGTGCAGGTCCCCTCTCTGCGCTCCTTCGGGCGCCTGCGGCTACGCAGCCGAGCTGCCGGGCCCACAGGGCTGGCTTCCCTTCCCGCCCCATCGCTGCCGGCCTGGGCCCGCGGCGCCGCGCCTCTAACGGCTGTCTTTGCTCTTGCAGAGGAGGCCGACGGCTGCAGCT